GATGTAGAATAAAACATAAAAATAATGAAGTTTAGGGCCGCTCCATCACTTCTGAAGAAGTGTTCAGAAAAACATCATATTTAGAATGTTCTCCAAGCAAAACACAAATATGAGAGTACTTCAAAAACTTGGTGGAAAAATAGGATTAAAAGATAATATGAATCTTTCCATGAACTTTTTGAAGTACCCTGTGAAACCTATCATTTTAGCAAAAACCATCAGTATGATAATCTGTAAAAATCAGACCTGCAGCAGAGAAGTCCCCATTCACAGAGAACTTACTCACTGCACCAGATTTCTACAAAACCAAATAAGGAAGCTCCTTTCCTTTCTGCTTTGATGTCTCCAAACAGTTACCTCCCCTTCTTTTTATTCTCAGTCAAGCCTTTTACAAACAACTTTTAGGAAGCTGGTAAGGGAAAAAATTAGAAATTTACAATTTAATTATATTGTAATTATAAACTTTATATTATCCTTTTGGAACAAGTTAATAAATGCATATGTACAAAATCCAATTGGTCCAAAGGGATATACAGTAAAAATGTCTCCCCCTAGCCCCTACACCACAGCCAGCCAGTTTTCCTTCCTGGAGGAAAGCCAGTTTTCCTTCCTGATACAAATTTTTGGAGTAGTCTTCCTAAGTTAATGAACATTTAATTATAGGTTATTTACATATTAAAAATAGCAGGGAAGACTTAGTAACTTTTTACAAGCAAAACAGTTTTTATAAAAAACTTTCCTCCTCTTGTGTCAAGATGAAGCACAAGAAAATCTACTGCTACCACTTCACTGTCCTCACCCACCTGGGCTCAGTCCCAGCTGGTGGAAGCAATACACAACTAAAGAGAAACAGAAAATGAAAAGAAGCTACCTTCTTCCACCTATGACTGATGAGGGTAAGTTAGCGGGGATAAGAAGAGCATCTTAGCCATGACTAAAGTTACTACAGTACTTATACCTTACCATTTCCTTTCTACCTACTAAGATTTCTTTATTTTTAGGTTAATCAATCAAAGGATAAATAAGTCCACTGACCACTATGGATTAAAAGAGAATAAACATCCTCATTTTTTTTTTTTTGTCTTTTTGTCTTTTTCCGTGTCCAGCAACGGATCGCAACCCTCAGTGTTGCCCCCGTACCGGACCGGGGACCGGCAACGGGATCGCAACCCTTGGCGCTGCTCCCACGCCTCGCTCAGCCAGTGAGCGGGAACCGGTCTGTATGTGGGATCCGAACCCTCGGGCGGGAGCGCCGCCACGCTTCCCAAGCGGCGCACTATCCAGTGCGCCACCGGGCCGGCCCGTACGTCCTCATTTTTTAAGGAGTCCAACTTTTTTCTTGGAGTAATAAATACTTACATGAGTATAATTAGATCTTACACTCTCAATACTTTTTCTGATGATTGGTGGATACTCTATCCTTACCCTCCGCAATAAAGCATAAATAAAGGTAATAGGTTTTCCTTTTCCACCTAGGCTTTGGAAAGTCAGAAGCAATGTCATTCCCACCCTAACAACAGGAAAGTCTAGATCAACTATAAAATCATAACCTGAATTCACCAGAGCACTGAGGTGTTTGGGCCACCAAGGATTACGAAATCCAAAGAAAGACAAGGCCCTCAAGGAGACGTGAGATGTGAGCACTGGCTACAGGTAAGTGAAGGCTAGCATGAGACTAGAGGGCCCTTGGGATCCACAGACACAAATGGGAATTCATACCCATTTGCAGGATTGTCTTCACAAATGTCTACTGGATGCTTACAAGAAAGACTGGAGGCAGGGTGAGGGAGCGTCCCTTGGTGGTGTAGACCTGGTGGTACAGACCTGGAGAAGAAAAGGCAGGTAGCCCCACTTCCTGGGACCTTTTTCCCTACAGAAACAAAAGCCTTAAGCCACTGGGGGAGGAGTAAAAAATGCTGTCAGCCCGAAGATACACATGAAGACCCACTGCAACTGGGAGAGAGTAAAAAAAAAAAAAAAAAAAAATACCCTGTAGCCCTTGGAGAAGAGCAAGAAAAAGTTCTAGCCCAGGATCCTACACCAATACCATCAAAAGATCCTACCACTGTGAGAGGGATAATACCACTGAGAAAGACCATGAAATGAGATGGCAGGCACATAGGACTGAGCCAAACCAGGACAGGAATCAAAACAAAACAAAACCCTACCCACCACCACACTAGCACTCTTTTTATAATGGAAGGGCAAGAGCATGGAAAAAGATCCCTCTGAGGCACAGGTGCTCAGAGAAGGCCAAAAGCTGAGGGTGAAGGAAGAACATTGAGGAAAAATCTTTCAGCACCTCAGTCCCCACTCTGAGCATAAGGATTAGAAGAGCAAGCCAGGAGTGCACTGCAGGCAATCGCAATAACAACAAAACCTAAAACTAGCTCAGCTCCTTCTTAAATTGACTCAGTCCAAGAGACATACCCATTTCAAGGCCTAAATAATTTTTACCACAGTCTACTGTTTTACATGTGAGATTCAGCATTCATTCAAAAATTATTACACACACATCGCTTCTCGGCCTTTTGACTAAGATCAAGTGTAGTATCTGTTCTTATCAGTTTGAAAGTTATGACACACACATAAAAATGCCAGAAAAAAATGCTACTTAGAAACAAAGAAATCAAGACTGAGATGACCAACTTAAATTACCACAAAGAGATTTAAAATAATAATGATTAATATGTTAAACTATACAGTAGAAAAGGTAGAAACATGCATGAACAGATGGGAAATTTCAGCAGAAAGATGGAAAACATAAGAAAGCATCAAATAGAAATGCTAGAAATTAAAAATAGAAAAGATATTAAAGATTAAGAATGCCACTGAAGGCTCATCATTGGGGTGGCTATATTAATAATACAAATGAGACTTCAGAACAAGCAATATTACCAGGAATAATATTACCAGCAGGGACATTACATAATGATTAAAAGGTAAATTTGTCAAGAAGATATAACAATCTAAATGTATATAAAATATAAATGTGACAACATATCTTCAAAATACTTGAAACAAAACTCATAGAACTGAAGGAAGAATGAAACAAATCTACAAAAGTATGTGGAGACTTCAATATCCCTGTCTCAGAAATCATTAGAATAAGCAGATTTAAAGTCAGTAAGGATACAGAAAACCTACAACATTGTCAACCAACTAGACTTATTTGACATTAATAGAACATTCCACCCAACAGCAGCATGATACACATTATTTCCAGTGCTCACAGAACACTGACCACAATAGACTATATTCTGAATCATAAAAGAAACCTCAACAAATTGAAATGAATTGATATTGAATAGAAATTTCAAAGAATGTCTTTTGACCAAAACAGAATTAAACTAAAAAATCAATTATAGAGGAATTCACATGGGAAATATTAGAAAATATTTTGAATTGAATGAAGATAAAAACATATCAAAATTCATGGGACACAGACATTAAATGCTTATATTAGAAAAGAAGAAATGTCTCAAATCAATGATCTAAACTGCCACCTTAACAAGCAAGAATAAATCAACTCAAACTAAAAAAAAGGTGAAAAATAATGTGTATACGAGCAGAAATTGAAAACAAAAAAACAACAGAAAAAAAAATGAAACCAAACACTGGATCTTTTAGAAGATCAATACAATTGATAAACCTATCTAGACTTATCAAGAAAAAAGAGAGTTCAGATCCCCACACAGGCCAGCCACCAAAAAAATAAATAAGAGAGGTCACAAATTACCAGTATAAGAAATGAAAAAGAGGCATGACAAAAGATCCTATAGACATTAAAAGAATAAGGTAATATTACAATTTTATCTCCATTAATTTGACAACTTAGAGGAAATGGAGTGAAGAAAGTTCTTGAAAGAAATAAACTACCAAAGCTTACTTGAAATGAAATAGATAACCCGAATAGTCCTATATCTCTTAAAGAAATTGAATTCCTAGTTAAAAACCCAACAAAGAAAACTCCAGGACCATATGGCTTTACTGACAAATTCTTTTTTTTTTTTTCCTTTTTGTCTTTTTTCGTGACCAGTAACGGGATCGCAACCCTCGGTGTCGCGCCCGCACTGCGCTCAGCCAGTGAGCGGACCGGTCTCTATATGGGATCCGAACCCTCGGCGGGAGCGCCGCACTCAACCAAGTGTGCCACCGGGCCGGCCCTTTATTGACAAATTCTACCAAACATTAAAAAGAAAAAAATATCAAGCAAATTATTCTAGAAAACCGAAGAGAAGGAAACACTTCCCAACTCATTTTATGAAGTCAAAAAAATGAAGGAAAAAAATCATTTTATTAAGTCAGCATAACCTAATTTCTAAACCATACAAGATCATTACCAGAAAACTACAGACCAATATCCATCATGAACACAGATGCAAAAATCCCCAACCAAATATTAGCAAATTTGATCCAGGAATATATAAAAACAGCAAACCTCTTTTAAAAGCTTTAATCCATGTTTTAATTCTGAACTGGGATGACCACAAAGACAATAAATGGTATCTGATTCCAGTCTAAATTAAGTTCTGATGTAAGCACAGAATTTTATGTATTTAACTTTCACAAAAGCTACTTTCAAAGAAAAGGCACAGCAAGGCTGGCTGGTTAGCTTGGTTGGTTAAAGCATGGTGTTATAACACCAAGGTCAAGGGCTCAAATCCCTGTTACTAGCCAGCTGCAAAAAACCGAATAAATTCTAAAAAAAAAAAAAAAAAAAAGGCACAGCAGACAGCTTAATTTCGGAAATTAGGATGCAGATTAAATTAATTAGGATGGCAGTTAAAACATTACAGAAGAAACCTTACAGTCAAAAATAACTACAGACTCATGAACACACACTCAACTAAAGGGTAGTGAGTCTGTTTCCCTGGTTTCTAACAAAGAGAAAGAGAAAGTACCTCAGTTTCCTCAAGGTTTCCAAGATTATGACCCAAAGAATAATCCTTAATCTACTTTCAGAACATATACATATCCAGGTTGGCTTAAATACTTACCCTCAACCTGGCTAGTATCTGAGCCTGGTTTCTTCTTTGACTCTGAGTTCCCGGTTTTCTCATCAACATCCAGGAGAGGAATATAGTCTGTTTTTCCAACAGTTTCTCCCACAACATCATCAAAGGCCTCTGCCTCCAGTGTGGCAATAAAGTCCCGTTTTATCTCCTCCTCAATTTCTGGAGGTGGGTCTGTTAATGCATCTGCAAGACTGAGGTCAGCCATTCTGCACCACTGCAACTGCCTGGTTAAGAGGAAAAAGATGTTTCATATGATGAGCACTGCAAAAGGAAAAATATTTCTAGAAACTCTCATAAGTTGTTTTTAAAAATAAAAAAAAGAACCAAAATCTAAATTTTTTTTTTTTTTTTTTTTTGTCTTTTTGTCTTTTTTCCGTGTCCGGCCACAGATCGCAACCCTCAGTGTCGCCCCCATACCGGACTGGGGACCGGCAACGGGATCGCAACCCTCGGCGTCGCGCCCGTACCGGACCGGGACCGGCAACGGGATCGCCACCCTCGGTGTTGCTCCCACCCCCCCCCCCAC